TATTCCTGTATACGTCCACAGTCCAATACGTATGGTCCATCCCCGGTTGAAACGGGACGAATTTGGATGAATACTCGTTCACTGCCATCCCTATCTGGGAGGCTTTTTTTCAATGAATTCCCCTAAATGCTCGTCTCGGATCAATTGCTCAAGGAAGGACTTATACACCCTACAATCTTCAGTCAAATACCCTACATCACAATGATAAGAACACTGAGATATCCAATCCCTCATTGATAGGTCTCCTTGCATCTTGGGGGGCCACTTAAAAAAAGGTTTCCCTTTTATCTTGTGCTGCATCTTATAAATGGATTCTTTGAAGATCGTGTTTACTCCCTGAAAGGACAAACAATTCGGAGCTGGGACAGGTGCCCCCTCCTCGTAGGTGGTTCCTTCTCCCTCTTCCTTGGCATTGGAAACTGACTCTCAGGCCTCGTGGACTCTTCTTCCCCCCTGGTGTACTTGTTTATCTGAGTCATCAGGTCTTTCATGTCTCATAGGGCTCATTTAGTAAGTGATCTATATAGGTCAATGCCTCGGGACAATCACAGCTGAAACGTAGCTGCCGCTATGACCTCGTTAACTTCCTCCCAGTACCTAATTGCGTATTGTGCAAGGGACTCCCTATTTCTCTGTTTAAGTGTCAACAGTGCGTCAAGGTCTTTCGACCTCTTACTACTGGTAATGAACCAAGCTAAATGGAAAAAAACTCGGCACAATAGCCTTTGGTCAGTGTCATAAATGGACATCGGTTGCTTGTACTGTTGAAGATGGCTCTCAGGATCTATCCTCCCATTATAAACTTTAAATCGGGGGACGGTGAACTTTTTTGACATTTTGGTCTCCCGGATTGCTCATACGAACGGGGAGATGATTTGCTCATCAATGTCTTCATCACCCTCGTGATGGGGTCTTCGACGCTTCCAAGCGCGCTCGGAGGTCTTCTCAGGGCCTCACTTTTTCGGGCCCCCTCGAAGTGGACTCCATGCGGGACTCAATTGTTGCGGTACCTCCGGACAGCCCATGACAGAGATCCCACCGGGACAGGCCTGCCCTGTGGTGGTCCCTCTCCGATCTTTCCTCGGGAGTTGGCCTTCCATAACTTTGTGGGTTGCGTCAGCTCCCCCCGGAGGGATCAAGTCTTACGTCCATGGAATCGCCTCGGTTGAAACTTATGTCTTCACGCTTGTTGCTTCGCTAACTGACATTCCCCGATTGCTCGAAACCATTGAGCCAATCCTACACCTTGGCATTGTCCTTCTCAAGTTGTTTAAGGCGGTTTCCCATCCGCTTTTCCACCAACTCAACGATTTCACGAGCTAAAAGACCTTACCCCCCAAGGCCTTGATCCACGGGAAACGTTCATTGTGAGGCATGCTCACCTCCTTCTGACTAGCCCAAGGAATCTGAATCTGTGACTGCCGGGAGCTGGGCAGCTCCCGCGTTTCTCACGCGTAAGCTCCCCTCGTCACCTTGGGATTGTTTGTTCACTATGATGCGATCGACATGGGAAAAGTTCGTATGTTTTCCACAGACGGCGTCAAATTGTACGGGAGAATTCTTGCAATGAATTGAGATAACGACCCTCTCGACGATAAACCTGAAATAACTAACATGTCAGAAAAGGGCCCAAGTGAACATCCATCTTATCCCCTCCGAAACTTAAGTCAGTAAAAATTTGGAGGCTTTAGCACAATATTTTTCTTGTTGCAGTTAGTTTGCATACTTTTGTTCATTTTTATGAGGAGTATTTATACATAAATTAGCAATGAGTGCAATGGCATGAAGTCTCATCTCAATATTTAATGACTTGCACTCTTATCCACGCGTCATGAATGTTCTCCACTTAGATTCTCGTGACTATTTTACTCGGACGATAGAATGACTGCTCGGGACATGCCGAACACTTATGATCCTATCCCCGGTCATTTAAGTCCATCGGATCGGTGTTTGACATTTACTCTCGAGTGTTCATTGCTCGAATAACAGTACCTCGGGGTACGCCAAGGAGTTATACTCGGTGCAATGGTCATTAATCTTTTGCAATCATAACTGTCAGTTTGGATCTCGAGAATGCAAGAGCTTATAAATGACCCTGTCGTATTCACTTACGTCTTCTTTAATGAGCTGTCAAGTCATCTTAAATGTCGGTGTCAGTATATGTACTCTGCTCCTCTGAACCATTACTCCTCAACACCTTGTGAGTTCTACAACAGCTACATCTTTTCACGTGTCGATCTGGGGGCAGTTGAGCCGCCTAAAATCCCATAAAAAACTTAAAAATGAAAACTCTCTTTTTATTATTTAATTTTATTTGTTTCTGATACATTTTCCTCCATAACTCATTCCATCAATCACCTATTATAATTGACGGTACATGGTTAGACGGACTTGTGAAAAGTAGACACGTGGAAGAAATAGATGCAAGAGTTGAATGCCGATGAGCCCGATCCTAAGGAAAACAAGTTAATTCGTCGCGTACATCTAATACTTTGCCTTGAGCATTAATGATACACAACAACTAGACCAACTGAGAATGTCAACTACATGTTGTTCTGACATAAGAAATGACATAAGAAACATGCGACTGGTCAGACATAATGGTCTCATTCTTTAGTAATGTGACCAATCATGTGACACCTAAAAGCTCGACTTCGATTCTCTAGGGGTTGTAAATGCGCAGCTCAAGGCACGATAATGGCGCGGCTCAATAACTATTGAGCCCCTGCGTGATCGAATCAAAGGTATCCCACTTTGACACATTGTCATAACACCTAGCTTATTTGTGACCTCGTTTGCGACACAAGTCAACATCCTTAGGTATAAATGGCCCATTGATCTGATATTAAAGGTATGCAACTCTAACCTATACTAAGATCTTCGCTCACTCGTTCACAAATAACTTGAGCAGGGAAAACACTAGATACACATCCGACTCCCTTCTAACCTTCTTTGAAGTTGCAAGCCTGTCCTATAACAACTTTTCTGAAGATCCTCCATTGATTTCACTCTTCGATATTGCAAAATTCTTATTTTGTCGAAATCCGCTCGTACAAAAATCTAGGTGTCCAGAATCATTGCTAGCAACACAATAATTTTGATATCTTCCGATACAAAAATTTAGGTGAATACTATTTGATGATGCACAAAGTTGACTATGCACAATCAAATTGATCGAATGTGTGGTGTAAAATAATTAATGAGCAATTAATAATAAAAGATAAAAATTGGGTGATTGGATTTAGGTGACCTAATCACTAAAGGCGATAACGGTGGTCAGAAAACTCTATTAATGAAAGAGTATAAGATAGTAGGAGAGAGAGAGAGAGAGAGCAAGAGTATACGCTCAAATTGAGGTGTGTGAGATCTGCCCCATGGGAAAGGAGGTTTACAATTTATAAGCGCAAAGCTATAACTGAGGCAATGACGTGAGGGTTAAAATATTAATTTATCGGGGTGAATAGTTATAATTGGGGATAGACATTATCCTGAAGTAATAGTTATCCTGATGATTGCTCTCCCACATTCGTTGAATCTTCTTAAACTCTTGAGTTTTAGACTGTACTGAAGTCATGAGCTAAACCTACCTTGTCTTTTGATGATTTGGGCTCAATCTACGAATCGGCTAGGCCTAGTCTGAATCTGAGCTCATCATTATTTGTTGTCATCCAGTGTTATAGAAAATTAAAGAAATATATACCGGTAGAAATTGATATTCAACGGCACATAGCTATATTTAAGGTCTTTTACATATTCAGGTTCTGTTGTTATTAGTTTCAAACAAAGAAAATCAAACTGGCTGATTCCACTTGAAAGTGCCGAGTTATTTATATATATTTATATTACATTGTGCAGACCCCCCTTCTTCCATTTGGGGGACACAATGTTATGTTGCATATATTTTAAACCTATTCTTTAAACCTGTGATGTGAGAGAATTATGGGTCAATGTCAATCATAAATTAACAAAAAGTGCACACTTTTGCCGTAAATAATTGACAACTTGGAGTACACTATTCAAATGTATAATGCCCTGTGACCATACTATAGTTGATGTACCACTTGTTACCAACTCACCCGATGTACTTGTCCTGAATATAGACATTGTCCGGTGATATTGAGAAATTCTTTTTTCTTCCTTTTTGGAAAAAAGAGAGGGATGGAGTCATGGTGGCCCTGGTGGGATGGAGATGAGGTTTTAGAAAACAACACAATGCTACACTTTTTTATATAATTTTTCCTCATCAACTTCCGGTGACCATTAGATATGAGAGTCTCGTTGGATTCTACTCATGTCCCATGGTTGTGATTGTGTCACCTGAATTGGTAAGAGAGTTTGTAAGTAAAATTAGTCAGAAAAGCATTATCTTTAACTATGGTTTTTGGTGGTGGTGCCTATGGTGGGTGAAGTTTTTAGTTGACTCAATCTTTCATGAGGACTTGTGAATGTGTTGGTATGTTCCACAGGGACAGTGTTGTAATTTAAAGAGGACTAGCTCAATAAAATGACAGCAGTGGCATATTCCCTTTTGTTAGTAGCAAAAAACAAACCAAACGAAAAATAGATTTGATAAGAGTAAAGTTCAAAGGTGCACATATACAAATACATGTATTTATTTTGGATTTTCTGAGTCTGAGGAAGTTAACAGAAACCCCTATGATTTTGATCAGGTTGTGCTGCTATATAATAAGATAACTTGACAAAAAAGGTTGAAATTTAACACAATCTTAGGCTACAGATTATATATATGATCAAGCTCTATGTTCCATATGTATATGATATTGCTATGCAACCAAAAAAAAGGAGTGCAAGAAGATGAAAGAAGAGGAAGCATTATTCACATTTAAAATGTCAGATTTTATCCGTAGGCACTTCAATGGGGAGACGAGTAAGCAATCATCATCTTATCACCACCACTACTGTGTAAAAGTAAGATTCCATAAAAAAACAAATGTACCTTATGGAAATCAGCAACATAAAGAACAACTTTAACTGTGATGTCAGGGTGTAATGCGCTTCCGAGACAAAACTTGGTGGGTTGGTGCTGAGGGTGAGGAACCCAATGCGAGCCAAGGATCCAAGCATGGGGTTTGGGGGCTTAGCCGTCGCAAGTAGCTCTTTGTAATGGGCCTGCAATTCGTCGATTGTCTCTCCCGTGCTGATATAAGGTGTTTCTTGTTGGTTCCTATGCCCAGAAGCTCTTTGGGTCCAACTGGACTGCCTGGTATTTGATACTTCCTTTTCTTTTTCAGTAATTCCCACAACAGTTTATCGTCTTTAGGTTGATCTTCCTCCATACCTAAAAGCTTCACGAAAAAATAAAAAACACAAGTTTTACAGAGGATATGGCTTTAGTAATTGTTAATCAGAAGGCAAGCAATGTAAAATTAATATGGACTGAGGTTCCTGGTGGACCTCTTATGCCAACAATTAACAAAGAAACAACAAAAATAAGAATATGTGGGGCCTCAAGAGACCAGTTTTTTTATATGTTCAACAATTTGGCATGTTCCCTCTTGAGATAATGCTTTATTTAAGGAGACATTCACTAAAGAATATCATTTGGAAATCACAGTGGAGAAATGCAACAAGTAAATCACTTCCCAAGAGATCATGATAAAATACAAAAACAATGTCCTCTTGTCAAGTCCTAGAATTTATCTTGGATTTTCTAAGGCATATTTTATCGCCAGCCATTAGAGGCTGTAATCAAATATTCCGAAAAACTAGAAGAAACCACCTTTTCTCCTTAAGGTAAGTAATCCTGAGTAGTGAAGGAAATATTACAATTAGATATTATCCATAAATATACACAGCCTAGATACAAATTGTTCACCACATGAGCAACGTGAAGAGAATTGTCCTTAATGCCCACATCCCACTATATGCAGAAAGTGGCAAATATGGGACATACCTTGTGTTTTAAACAATGTTCATTGGACCCCCTTTTAGCTTCTAAGAAGAACCCAAGCTGTTCATTCATTTTTCCAACTCTTTCTTCCGATTCCTTCAGTCTGCTCAAAGCCTCAAGCTTCCTTTCTTCTGCTATTCTCACCTTGTTTCTAACTTCCTCCAACTCTACCCTTCCCTCTCTCATTGCTCCTCCCATCTCTTCCACTATGGCCAATAGCTGTGGGCATGTTCCAGAGGTCATTTCAGTTTTAAGACCTTTCACATACTCAACCATAGGAATACACATATTTTCAGCTAGTTTTTGCATCATGTCTTCCACATCACACTCTACTGAGCTGAGGGCTGAACCCACATGATCAAATGTGGTTTTGAGGAGTTTTAGCATGAGGAAAAAGATGCCATTGTTTTGATTCGACTGGAGAATGGCAGATACATAAGTCACAGCTTTCTTGAAGAACTTTTGGATTGAGGCTCGATGGTCAGTAAGTGTTTGAAAGATGTCATCTTGGCTACGATTGACTTGGGTTTCAATTTGTTTGAGAAGGTGAACCAATAGTGTAAGTTGCAATTTTTGTCTCTGTATAAGCTCATCACATACCGTGCTGGCTCTAGCTGTGTATATTTCTTCCTGCAGAAAAGGCAGGTGACCATATGCCAATAAGAACAATCAAATTGAACACCCCTGGAAGTTTTTCCAGAACAGTGACTCCTTACCTACGACTTCATTTTGTGATGAAAATGTGCTCCTTAGCAAAAGCAATGTAAGAACTAAGAACCCCATAACAGCGCAACTAATGAGACCTCATTGCTTAAAGTATCATGAACACTTTATCAGTTTCGGACCAGGTTGTGTGACTTGATAAACAAATAAACTGAAGCAGAAAGAAATGATTGCTATTAGTCATTCAGAATCAACCTGGACTCGATGTTTGAACATCGTCTCCTCGTTCAAATGTGTGTATCAAAGAACAGTTAACACTTGAATTTCGCAGTATATATCCCTAATTACAGCTTGTAAACTTGTTTTTCTACTTTCATTTTCTTGAATCCATTGTATCCACCAGACATAAATTTGCTACCAATATTCTAATCCATGGTTTGAATATTGTGAAATGATACAGGCATTTTCATTGACTACCAATTTCAACCACTGTACATGGAGCCTTAGAAGCTATCATTTGCTCTAATCACACTTCACACAAATAATGCATACATAAGCTGTTGTTTGAAATATTCATTTTGTCACCTTCCGAGAAATATTCATTTGTGCCATTTCATCAAACTTATTTTATTATACAATGGAGCTACTTGTAACCAATTCGAATGTTTGCAAACTATGAACCTGAGTTCATTCTGAAATTCCAAATAATGTGTTACCGCCAATGTATTAATCTTGTAATTCTGATCCATCCCGCCAACTGCAGAAGCCGACCTCACAGGTGTTGCAGATCTGAAATCGTTTCTCTGGTGACCCTACCGGAATATCGACCATGATTAAAAACAGGTACGCACACGAATGAGTTGAAATTAGGGGAATAAAGGTAACCTGAGAAAGTAAATCAGTAGTATCCATGAAAATAGTACTGAATCTTCCCTCCTTAGCCATTTCAACATCCTTGAAATCCACAAGCTTCATCAATGGAACTGCAAGCGATGCGAACACATCTTCGGCCTACGAAAGAACAATTCAAACCTCCAGATGAAATTCAAACTTGCATATTGGAGAATTTTTGAATTCACTGAAATTCGAAGACGCACTTGCATGCATTTCCAGCAAACACGATAGTAAAAGTCTACAAAACGCATCAGAATATGAGAAAATTGGATTGAAGTACCTCGAGCAAACCTATTTTGATCTGAGAATTGAGCTGATTGAAGGCGATTTTGAGTTGTTCGTGGCGAGAGACGATACGTGTGAGTTTGAAGCGAAGATCGGCCATTGATGGAGACGGACAAGGCTGGGAACGTGGTCTCCGACGATTCATTGTTCGTTTGGCGGGAAAAAGCAAACTAATTGAAGATTGACTAATGGCTTATTTTATAGTTTGGACTTTGGAGGTAAGAAGTGTTCGAAATTGTAGAACTTTTTGCTCTACCTTAGTATGAGCCTCAACATCAACATTGTGGATTTGAATTTTTTTTTTTTTTTCCTTTCTTATCCATTGAAGTTTCGAGAGGGCTGACAATTAGAGAACAAATTAGGTTAGTTGGTTGGATTCAAATCCCCTCAAATATAATTTTTTTTTCAATTATTTTTTTGATGAATCACCTATCTTGTATTTAAGTAAAACTCATTGTATATAAGTGGACTTTTTACTCATTAATAACGGATTATTTGTCAAGAAAAAAATTGATTATTCAAAAAAATCAAAGTTTCGATCGATCAATCTTCAATCTATTATTAGTTGTTGTCAACAAATGAATTAAAGAGGTGCATTATAAATTGTCGTTAACCAAGTGTGCGAGAGGGATAGTCAAGTGGATGGACGGCAGCAAGACAAAGGAGGGAGAGGAAGGAGCGTTAACCTATATAGTATAAAAACCTTGGCTTGTTTGTCTGGCATGCCTGCATACCGATTTTTGTTGGTTTTTGTGGTAACGTAAACTCCGTTAACAACTACTTGTAAATCTTTTTTTGGTTTACACCCATTATCTCAAGATTTGGATCGAATTAATTCATTGACACAAATAATTCACTGGAGAAAATTGAGTCACTTGGGACCTAAAGGATTGACAGGGTGAACTGCTTGCCACTTTTCTATTTGAGTAAAGAATGAATATCAAGCCCTACTACTGATGTTCAACCAACGACCTGGTTCTGCTTTTCCTATTTCTGCTTAGATTGAAAACTTGAAAGAAAAATTGTCCAGCCTTTCTGTTGCATTGGTGTTTTCACTCTCTGCTCTCCACTGTCACAAAATGTTTCCACTATGTATTAATGATTATTTACAACTTTAGAGGTTATTTGTGTTGATTCCAAATGAACCCTCAAAAGTTGTAAATTTTTTTTTTATCTTAAACAAATTCAAAAACTTGCATCTCAACCCACAAAATTTAGTAGATACCAAAATTTTGTATTCGGTACCGTAGTAGACTCCTCAAGCATATATGCCAATTCAGTCTATTCATCACATAAAGAGAAACTGGGGATTTACACTAAAATACTACCACACAACATAAGCTCTAATCAATTGTCAAGGCCCCTCAACGTCGGCTACTTAATCATCATAAGAAACACATTTCAGAAAGGTATGTGACCACCCCCACCAGCGACCGAGCTGGAAGCCGTGGTGACACTGCCACTCCGTTCCGAGTGGCATAGCTGCCGGAGCTTGGTGGGAACGTACCAAATCGAGAGCCGGGGATGCGTGTTGAAGATGGTGTCAATATCCCACCCTTGTCGAGCTGCAATCGCAACGAGGGGCTTGTAACATGCCTGCCTCCACGCCCCAACATTCTCTCCTCTCTCCTTGAAAGCTCTCCTCAGCACATTGGATGCCTCCTCATCGAGGCAGTGCAGTGCATAGCAGTGAACGTAGTGTCGCATTTTGGGTTTGTTTATGTAGCTAGCACCGGCCTTTTTTGCATACCTGAATACCTGGTTTGTCACCTGAAATTGGACACATCCAAGTGCAAAATCAATATAAGATTTATAACTTTTTATTGACGGGTGAGTTTAAGCATGCTCAGGCTCGGTTCAATTGTGAAGGCGCTTATTTGAATTCGGCTCGGACTCAACTATTGAACCTAAAATTTCGCTCAAGCTCAGCTTTACCAAAGCTTAGGCCAAAAAATGAGTTCTCTTTCTTTCCAAAAAATCTCAAAAATTATGCATAGATCATTCAATTTTTGAGTAAAAATCTTAGAAATCAAACCCTAAAATCCTCAATTCATCAACCAAAAACCTAAGATTACATACAATCAACAATAAAAATTAAACCTAGTAGAAAAAACAAATCTGAAAGAAAATCGAAAAAAATAGCACAGATTTGAAACAAATGGATTAGATCTGGAAGACAAATGGAAACATATGGGGGGTAAAGATGGGCCAGGTTGGACATGGTGTGTTACATTCAAATAGTCATAAGCTCTAATCGCCCACAAATCCTAGACTTATAGATCAACGGTTGGGTTCATAATAATTGATAGTAGAGTCGACACCACTAGGGGTGTTTAAATTTTCGATTACTAGTAAATTTCGATCATATCCGACTCTATGAATCGGTTATTCAAAAGAATCGGGTAAGCCAACAGAAGTTTTTTGGTATTCCACAAAAAATCAGACAAGAATACGAAATACTTACAAAATTTTTGTATTCCTACCATACCCTACTGGCATGTGTGTAAAATTAAAAACTCTAATCTTTTATTGATATTTATGACTTTTTTGTTGTATTTTATTGGAATTGTTTATTTATTATCGAATTTATTGTGTTTTCTTTAATGTTATTAGTTTATTATGTTAGTTAATTGGTGCAAGTTACTTAATTAAATTATTAAAATGATCTAAAAATTAATAACTAAACATTATGTGTTCACCTGACTTTCTACCTGATTGTTTTGAATGAAATTCGAATAAGATTAATATACTTGATCGGATACAGCAAGTTAAAAAAAAATCTTTCTACAAAACATCGGGTAGGAAGATGGAATACCATAATTCCTACCCGTAAATTAGGGTGAACACCCCTAGGGACCACGTCATGAGTTCGAGTCATGGAAATGACGACCTATAAATTGAATTAAAATATCTTAATATTATGTATGAACATAATACTATCGCATTGAATACTAATAAACGAGTAAAATCGCCAAAGAAAAAAAGACTATCATTAGACTAGTGTCGATAAAATGGGTTGTCATAGACATCGGTAGTGAGCATAGTAAAATGCTACGTCCATGTTATGAGTTCTACCTCCCACAAGTCCTTAGATCAACGGTTAGATTTACAACATGGTGTTACTGTTAGTGAAACCTGGCCCATGGAGGGTTGGGCTGATATATACAAGAAGCTATGGTCATGATCTGGCTGTTGGGTTACTCCGAATAGACCTTTAACAGGTTACTGATTTTATTTTTTTTTAAACTTTTTTTTTTAATTTTTTTTTTTCGTTGGGGGATTTGAAAGAGTACCATTGAACTAAAGGGCACTAGTAACAGGTCAATGATAGTGATGGGGCCAAACTTAGTAGGCTTAATTTCTTCTAGTTCTTTTAAAATCTGTTTATTTATTTTTTAAAAATTTATCGGACTACTGATTTGGCCTGCGGGCTTACATGAAGATCCAACTCCATAGGCCGGATTGGGCTTACTTATAGGGTAAAAACACAGATTTTTTAGCATTTTTTACAAAGAGGATTATTGGCAACCCATTTGTTAAAAGCCCATGAACAGATGGGCTGCTGTGCTAACGAGCAACTCAATGGGCCATGAACCAATTTACCAACACCTACTTGCCCTTTCACTCTTAGAAGTTCCAAAAGCTAATCGATTAAATTTCATACCTTGGTGGGGCATTTCTCTCCTCTTTCCTTCGCAATATTCTGAACTTGGATCAAGAATTCACGGCACTGTTCATAGAGGTGGAAGAGGTAATCAAGGCCGTTCTTCTTTCCACGCGCCACCTCACCTGGCTCCGTCACAATAAAAGGGTGCTCGCGCTGCCTCTCATTACCTCCACCACCATTGTCATCCTCCTCCGCTCCCTCCGTCTCATCATCATCCTCCAATGACGCCATTCTTGCACCGGCCTTCTTCCGACGCTGCTTATTTTTTGCACCCGCCTCCCACGTCCCTCCTCTTCCACCACCACTTCCCGCTGCATCCTTCTCTTGTTGTACCGGCTCCTCCGATAACCCTATCCACCATTTTCCATGAAATGTTTAATCCATGTAATCATGCAGGTATAAAAAAAAATTGGTAAACATAGCATTACTCATATATCTTCAGTGACTTTGTCTTCTAGCCGACTATGGTTTGAGTTTCACATTGTCAGAGTGCATGTACAATTTTATTTTTTTTTCAAAAAGGGGTAGAGTTCCACAATATTAAAAGATGCGATTACAAGAGACACAATAGGATATAAATAGAATTAAATCATACATAAACGAAAAAACAATAATACATCCATATAGTCTGTTGAGGTAGACAAGGTTGAATCATGTAGGGATAATGTGAATTAAAAGGGCGTATACAAAGACACGAGGCTCTTGTTATTTCAAGGTCCGAACGAAAGAGAGGGTTAGATGTAAGCAACGTTGGGGGAATGTTTTGGTGACTCGAATTCATGACTTTTGAGTAACAACGAAATAATTTTACCATTATACCAAGTCCCACGCTTTGATGAGAGGTAAAGCTCATGGTACTAACTTCTTAAGTCTAAATTGCTCTTCTGATTTATGCATGTGTGATGGGAATGACATTTAGGAAAGATAAAGACACAAACATAAACACAAACCTTCTTGGGAGAGTGCGTCGAGGGCGTTGGTGGTGTCACCGGAGGATAGGTATCTCCGCCGTGCTTCCTCCTCATCAAGGCGTCGCCGCTCGGACCTTACGGCGGCTTTTATACCATACCTCTCACCAACGAGGAGGTCCCACCGGAAAATCTGGGAGAGGCTATTCATCATGTCATCAAGTTCCTCATCCTTCATGTCTAACAGGGTGTTAACAGTGAACCCAAGCTCGGCTATCTTGGCCGCAGTGTAGTATCTAATACCATAATCTTGGAACAACTCCTCTAGCCCTCCAATCTCTCTCGGCCTGATTGAATACGCCACTTGTGGTGGTGGTGGTGGTGGCGGCGGCTGCGGTGGAGGTGGTTGTACTGCCACCACTTCTAGCAGCCGATTTGGATGTGGTATAGCACCTCTTGGGTCCCACTTGAACAAGCTCGCCGAGAAGGCTTCGGGATCCATACGTCAACTGCAAATACAACTTCAAACTCTCTCTCTTTCCAATTCTTTGCTTTAGGTTTCACATAACACGTACAGTGGTGCAACGCAATGGAGACGGCGAGCGGTTGCTTCCTATAAAGAGCACTGTTTTTTAGGGGTTCTGAAAATGTTCATTTCATAATTAAAGTGCTTATCCATTCGGCATACGACACTTTCGTTAAGATTTGACGAGAGTTAGAAGAAGTACCGAGAGTAATAAATAGAGACTACTTTTACTATTTAAACCCGTGCATTGATAACTGATTATCATAAAATTATCGTACTTTTTTTGTTTTGCATTACTGAATATGTACGACTCAACTGTTGCATTGACCGCCATGTTCTGTTCAAACAACCAGATAGTTGTAACTACATTAGTTCGAATCGAACTAGACTAACCATTAAAAGCAAAAAGCCTAACCAGTCTAACAAAAAAACTTTGTCTCTTACCTTTGAGATTGAGACCAGACCCTCGTTTAGTATGGACATGGTACATGTAGTTTATAAATTTTGCAATCGATTGAACATATTAACTTTAATCCTTGTTTATATCAATGATCCTTATATCCAATAATACTCGTTACTCTGTAAAAGATTTGTCTTTTATAAGTCAAAAATTTAAATCTTTTTCTCTCCTCTTCATCCCCTCCAAAAAAAATATATGCACGCTCTTTATAGTGTTTGTCTCCTCACTGTCAGTTGATTCGCCCTCATTTCATCGGGCGTACGGTCGGGTTGAGATACACAAAACCTTATGTTATAATAACATTTGCATGACAATTTAACTAAAATTTTGTGACATTGAAATTTATTGACAAATTAATGATTAAAATCATTACGTTTCAATAACATTATTCATCTATTTATTCAACAATATATGTTAACTAGTCATAATCTGTGTACGAAGACACGATAAAATATAAAATTCGAGAGTTTAAAAAATCGATCCCATTATATTAATTTTTTTAAAAATATATTAATTACAAATTAATTAAATATTAAATATATGATAGAAATGAGTAGTATAATATTTTTAAAAAATAAATATATAAATAATTAAATATGTAATAGAAAAAAATTATGTGATTTGACGTTTGAACCTGACTAAGAGATGATAAATAAAATAAGTAATTGATGATAATTTTAAAATAAAAAATATGACTGAGATAAAATTTAAACAAACTCTTTTTTTTTTAATATGTAGAGTTGTTGTACAGAATACGACAAAAATCAGGTTGAACATAGCATTGCTTACTTGAAAAACATACAGAAAAATTGAGTTTATTTCATACACACGGACATACGAGAGAGAGAGAGTGAGTGAGTGCCTTGGCCACTACTAACACCAGTCTGAAAAAGTCTAAATGAGTGTGAATGCAGATGATCATGTAGGCTTTATTGGGGAAATAAAAAACAGAATAGGCAACATGGTAATTTCAAGTACTCTAAAGGGTAAGAAACTGTCGAATCAGATACATTTAAGTAATACTACTACTCCTTGGCAATGTGAAAGCAGGAGAGTACAGAGAGACCCGTCGGCCCACCTCTGTTTGCCACAGAGACAGGGAGAGAGAGACTAATCTATCTGCATTAAGGCTGCTCTTTTTTCTTTTGTACTTTCAAAAGTAAACAAGTCAGAAGAAGGGTTTGCCTTCACTTTTCTTAGATTTTTTGTGGTGCGGTGCACTGCAGATTATGGCATCACTGTGAACCTGTCACTCAATTCTTTTTTCTGCGATAAGATTTGTTTAAGTTAATTTATGTATATTTTAATTAATTTTTTTTATTTGTTTAAAAGTAAGTTATTTATAATATAATTAAAATATTTACGAGAAATAAATTTATCATGATTTAACTTGAAAAAAACTGTCAAATCTCAAATTTAAAACGTTTGAATTTATAAATCGTCCCGTTATCCCCTATGTTATGTATCAATAATTGCATTTATATCTGAAAATTTTGTACTTTGGCGGTGCTGTTACGGTTGCCAACCCAAAACCATATATGTATAGGTTGAATTATAATACATAAAAAAAATTATTTTTTTATAATTGTATATCTTTTTTATCAAAAATTATGTGTGATTTTTATTTTATTTTGTTAATTTTCATACTTATTGGTGATAAATAAATTAAAACAAAATTTTTGGTTAGAAAATATTTTTTAATATGATTCCAAAAATATACTTTATAATACCATAATCTTATTCATATTTATAAAATAAAATAGGTTACAATTCAAATCTTAAAAAATAAACAAAATAATTTTTGTTATTCGAGGTTAAGATCGCTTTAAATTTTACTTTAAAATTAATTTAATGGTTAATATTAACACCCTCAATTTAATAAGAAAAATAAGTCATTAATTGTATGTTTAGAGTGACATTTTAAAAGTATTTTTAAAAATTATTTCTCATAAATACTTAAAAAAAAAATAATGTTTGAAACTGTCTCACCACTATTTCTACCACTACCACTATCGTCGCCATCGCAGCCACCGTCGTCCTACCACCATCGCAGACGTCGTCCCTGTCATCACCACCCCGATCGCCTCCACCACCACCACCACCATCAAAACCCCCCACCACCACCGCTGCGGTTATTACCTTTCACCATAACTCTCACCGTTTTCTATCACCGCCACTATCACTCACCACCTCTCACCCTCATTACAAACCGACACTTAAACTCCTTTATTTTTTCTTTATGTTTGTGATTTGATTTTAGATATGAATATAAATATGTTTATTGTTTATTATTTTTTATTATTCTGTGTTTTCTGGTACAAACAATAACTAGTATATATACAAGTAAAAAATGCAATATTGAAAAGTTGGTCCCCAGTAAATTCAATCAAATTATAAACTCATGAATACCTATATCCAGCATGAACAACTTATCTTTGACCGGATTTAAAAGAGTGCATATAAGTTGGTCAGAAGAAGGTTTAATTAAAAAAAATCTTATTTATTAGATATTCAGTGAAAATGAATGAGTCATAAATATAATATCCTATATTAATTTGGTGTAAAAAAATTGTTGAAAGTATTTGGGTAGGTAGAAGTACTCTTACTGCTAGAATTAAAGTTGTTTGGTCAACCCAACATAAAAAAGATCCAATGACCTGTTGACACGTCACAGCCCAGCAGTGTACGGAGAGTGCTAAGAAGTTTGTCCCAGACTGCAATCCCTCGTGTATGAAGCCAAAGAGGGAGGACTTTATAGAGCAGTGATCCCACTCTTTTTACTGTTGTTCGGCCTCTCTCTCGTTTGTCCTTTTGCTCTTTGGTAAATTGGGTGAACTCCAACTCCAAGTCCTTTGATAGGATAAGGGCGTCATCCATTCCTAATTTTGTAGGGTGAGATTATGAGAAAATCGTTGGAATATAAAGGATGATGAATATAAATAATACTTATTGAATGATTTTTAAAATTTAAAAATAAAAATATGACATAAATATAAAATATAATTTAATATAAAAAATTTTATTTGGACATAATTTATTGACCTAATGAATGACTTCATTGAAACCGTTGGATTAACACCAAGTTCTAATGTTTGATGGAGTCCACAGTCAATTCAAAGATCATAGTGAATTAGGTCAATAAATTAGATCTCAATAACATTGCTCTTATTAAGACTCTTAAATTGATTACCCAATAAACTATCATTCATGACAATTAGAGAGTTTGTGTCAAATTTCAAAAGAAATTATCCTTCAAGAATACTTTAATTTTGACATGAATGACTTATTTGTAATTGGATCAAGGAGAATATTAGTTAATGTATGTGTAAATTGACTTAGACATCTCTGACAGTTAAAAAAAAATTATTTGATAAAGACTACTATCGAGCGCATGTTTATCTTTTTAGGCATTATCCTATTGTACCGTAGCAGGGGCGGAGCTGCTATGGTACAAGGGTGGGCATATGCTCTCCTCAATTTTTTCTTCCTCTAACATTTACATATGAATTTTTGTTTTTTCTTTTTTTTTGACATATTTGATTATGCACACTTATTTCTTGTTTGTCATATCAATTAGTATAGGCCAGTATCGAATGATTATCAACTTTTGGTCATCTATTAGACCGACTTCCAGATATATTTTGGGTACGTTTGTAAATTTTAAATAAATTTGGGATTGTGATTTTGACATTAATTTGACCAATAGTGACATTTTTATTTATGAAGATAATGAATCATCTGCTAGATAACATAATAGGTGATAAATAAATTATTATAGTATAATTGTACATTGATCTTCTTTTTATTTCTACCAACTATTTGGTTGTAAAAGAGGTACAATAAAGTGGTACTAGGCACTTGGCGGAAAGCTCTTTAATGTTTCCCTCCCTCTTTTGAAAGATTTTCAAATTTGTCGCTATCTATTAAAATAATATGAAATACAATTAATATTTTAGGGTGTAATGTAAAAAATTTTATAATTAAGGATACAAAATGATACAAGAATAATAGTTTTATTCTTTTTTCATTTTTTACTTGTACACATTATGTAGACTAATTTTTGATCTTTTTTTGTTTAATAAATGGTGAAGTATTAATTTAAATAATAATAATAATAATAAAAAAATGACCCACTTTATTTTTATCCATAGAGAGAAAAATATTAAGCTGGTTGAAGTGCCCACCCAAAAAAAAAATTCCGACTCACCCATGCTCTTGACCAACAGTCACTTGGACTCCAACAACCCTAACAAGTCACTCGATAAACTTTTCTCTTTACCCCTTGCTGTTTTCCTTCAATTGCTTCCATTTCATCTCTCCACGCAGAACCCACCACCACATTCGTCATATGAAATGAAACATCTTTAGGACTTGTTTGGATGAATTTGGGAGAGGGGTTTGAATTGACTTCTCCAAGCTTTTTTAAATTTAAACTCCTTTTTATAAAGATAAGATTTAACATCTAATTTGGTTCATATCCATGTTTAATATGTAATATATATACATGTTGATATATCATAATTATTAACAATTATTTGTCTTATAAATAACTATTTTATCCTTAATCAATTCAATTCATACACATATTAAAAGATTGTTTGATAATACTACTTAAGACTTAAACTGAATACTTTAAATATTTAATAAATTAAATTCATTTGATAACCTAAAACTCATACTACTTAATATTTTAAGCACTTTTTAAAAATAAACTAAAATTTTAAGTAATAAGCAACCTACTTATCACTTAATCATAAAAATGTTAGTCAATAAAGATTTTATCAATTTCTCATAATAAACAATTATATCATCACTATCATTGTGTCATCGTCATTACCACCAACGTTATCACCACCACCGCCACTAGCACTACCACCGCCGCCGCTACCTCCACTACCACCATCACCATTGTATCATCATTGTGCCACCACTATCGTTGTCACCATTGTGTTGCTGCCACCATTGTATCGCTGCCACCACCATCGCCACTGTCGCCACCTCCACCACCATCATTGTCACCACAATTGTGTCGTCATCACCACCACTACTATTATGTCATTGCCACTACCACCATTGTGTCACTACTACCACTATCATTTTATGATGGCGGTGATAGAAATAAGGCAGTAAATAGTTAAAGAGAAGGGACAAAATTAGAATAATAATAATTTTCAAACTTCTGCTCCTTATATTTATCAAACAGTTTGATTCAGTATTTAAATTTCAGTCAATACCAAATAGTCTACGAATTAAAAATATTCAGTATTTATCATTTAAAATTCAACCTTCAATTTTCAATGTTCAGTTTTATCAAACACCACCTAAGGAGTAGAATTATTTTTTAAATTCTTAACCCCTTACTCATCTTCCCAAACCCACCTCTCTCTTAAGTTTGATGAAATCATTGATCATGAGTTTAATCTTCGGTCCAACTACGAACTGAATTTAAAAATTTAAGACTGAATTTTTCATATAAATATGAAATTTGGGAAAACTTTGAAATATTTTTTTCAAATCTATCTTACCAAGATTCCCTATACCCCCTTTACCAAACATCCCCTTCCAGTATTAGGGTTAAATTCAGCAGGAGCACCATGCTAATTCAATCCCCATTGGGAAAAGAGCCCCAACCCGACAGTCGTATTACATGACAAGACACTGTAGATTTCCTTCCAAGAGAGAGGATGATACGGCTCAAAGAAAGGCCAAGCCCATTTCCACAACATACATGAAAATGCATTGGAGTCCACTTGGATGGGCTGACCGGCCCAAAACGAAAGCCCATTCACGAAATGGATTTTCATCACCAATGCTGGAAGTTATGGCCATGGCCACTACGACTAGAGTTGTTTGAAGACCATGAAATGATTATCTTCCTTTTGCCCGTTAGTTGAACACCTAAAAGTATCCATATTATAAAAATATTTCTAATGTTTTTTTTGGATTTATTATCCATTGGAGAGAGTAGATTCGATTCCACATTCATCAGAGGATAACCGTCATTGAAATACTTTACGAACAAAAGTTATCTTTGGAGTACTATGAATCTCGGATATTTGTTGATGGTGTCCTAAATACTGAGCTTAGTTGGACATGACACGACTAACTTCACTATCTACCGAGATTATTAGATTCACCATTGGGTATAAATAAGATTATTGATAAGGAAATTCTAAAAATATATAAAAAGGTGAATTGTAATTTGTATTAAGAAAGGTTTAAAATTTTTTATTTTGTACTTTCAAATATTAAATTTTTTATATTATAACCTTAATATATTAACAATATTATAATATGAGCCTTTACCCATTCCATAAACATCAATAATTTTTGACTGAAAACTAACAAAAATATTATATTATAACACTTTTAATACTTTGAGAATGTAATATAAAAATTTATCCTTAAGGGTACCTGCACTTGAGGTTCCTGCCGTTGGGGGGGTTTTGAGGAGAGTTAAATTTTAAGGGTATAAGATAAAAAATATTAAATATTTTGGGGGTACAAAGTGTAATTTTTCCAAATATAAAATATTTGGAGACAAGGTCAGAACGTGTAATACTAACAGTAATACTAAACAACTGAACAACCTTGACTAAGAGTTTCAGCCAACCCGGTTTCGTTAAGACAGGCTTGTCATCAAACCAGAAAGAAAATGGAAATCTCGTGCCTGATTCCCATGATGATGATACATCCCTTTATACCAACAAATATATTTGATTTTACGAACTTTCCCAGAAAATAGTTTTTAACAGCTACTTGACAACTAATCCAGACCACACCAAACCTCCTCCTCCTCTTCGTTTTCAATCTTCCCTGTTTCTTCAAGCAATTTCATTTGCCCAATTCTCTATCAATCTCTATCTCTCTCTTTCTCTGCCTGATTTAATACATCAAGTTCCTTTATTGTTGTGTTGTCTCAAAATCCAATTCGCAAGAAACGTCTATGAACAATTACTTCGTGCAATGACGGGCCAACTCTCTCGACTTCCTCTACACATTGATTAAAAAACCTTCATTTCTCTTTGCATTTGGGGCATACCCTCATACACTTTTCTGGGTTTTTCTTTGGGGATCACATTGTCCTGGTTCTTTGTAGTAACAGATTTTTTTTGTTGAAGCTAGAGTGAAAGAGGGACTGGAGTAAAAAAATGAGGAACTGGAGTTGGGGTTTAGTTGTGGTTCTTAATTTTGCTTTTCTATTGAGGATTTGTGCTGTGGAGCTTCGCCGGGCTCAACAAACTGAGCGAATTTCAGGTTGAAAATATATTTTTTGCCTTCTCTTTTTCTGTCCTTTTTGACAATTTTCTGTTTGTTTGCCAGTGTTTTTCTGGAAGAATTTTTTTTAATGGTTCATTTTGGTGATAACAAGATAACCTTTCATTCTGGCAATTGGGGTTTCTGGCTTTTTTGTATATATTATGTCATATGATTTGAGAACTTTCCTGTGGTTTCTTTTACCTTTAACACAACGATGTCACTTGATTGTCTACGACTGCATTGCGTGTGCTCGGGGTGGAAGTTTTGTATAAATGTATCGCCATGCTATTTACTATTTTGATTTAAGTTCTTTTCTTTCTAAGAGGTGGAATAGAATAACCTGGATGAAGCGTAATGATCTGGGCCACTTTTGGTTAGTCTTTTAGGTTTTTGATTGGTTTAGCTTATTCTTGGGGATCTATTGTGAACTAGGAGTCGTATTAGACAATTGCACCAGTGAAGTGTTGGTTTTTCAAAGTCCCAACTGTGAAATCGCGGTTCTCTTGGAGATCATATGTGACTAATTACTGATTTACTCTGAACTGGGCTACTTTTGAGTCATTGAATCGTTGTAATTTCATTTGCAGAAATGCATATTGAGACATAATTGAAGTTTTTCTTTGGTGAAGTTGGATGTATGGATGTTTTCTCTAACCTGTGTAGGCTCTACTTTGAAGATTTAAGAGGGTCTTTCACGGATCAATTTTCATTACATTGGAGTAGATTTCTATGTATACTGAAAATGTTACATCCCTTGTCTGTGGTTGTATTACTGTTTCTATAACCTTCAATTTTGGTCAAAGTATAGTCTTTAATTTAGACCTAGTATTGCTGAACATATATATGCTATGAATGTCAGATTTCAATGTTTATAGCTGATTCCCTTTTTTGTTCCAACCTGCTGTAGCCCAATCAAGTTGAGAATGAGTTTTGCTAATTTTATACCCTGCATCACTGTGAAGTTGACTGAATGAACCCTAAAGCTTTTCAGTACCTAAGGATCCTTAATGAGCTTGCTGGTGGAAGGGTGAGGACAATGCCTTTTCCTACTACTTAAATATTTGGGCTTGATTATGTCACAAAGTGTCAGATTTCGGCTTTCTATCAACCAAATTGTTGCTTCTCAAACAACTGGTTGTGGCCATTTTTTCCAGTAACCAACCATACTGGGTGTGATGGTGGTATTCAAAAGTATAGGCAATACCTATTGTCCTCCGAAGTTGCTACCTTGTTTGGATTGGATTGGTTTAGGATCGAATATAAATAAAACTGAGCAACTAGATCACGAGGCTTGTGGCTTGAGCCTGTAGTTGTTTACCCTCTCCTGGATTGGCATCAACATAAGCTCAAGTTAATCACACTTCTTAACTACAAACAATAAACCGGACTCTAGCATTTGTTTGACTTATTGAGATGGCATGACTGGCTGTGCTTTCTCACCTCAGATTGGAATTTTTACATATTTGTAATCTAGATATATCTAGAAAATGTTGAACTTCTGTGTGCTGTGGGATTTAAGGTTTGACGGCTTTGATTGTGCTTTTTCTTCATACAATTTAGGTAGTGCTGGTGATGTGCTGGAAGATGATCCGGTGGGAAGGTTAAAAGTTTTTGTTTATGAGCTTCCAAGCAAATACAACAAGAAAATTCTGCAGAAGGATTCCCGATGTCTCACCCACATGTTTGCTGCCGAGATATATATGCATCGATTCCTGTTATCTAGCCCCGTCCGAACTCTCAATCCTGAGGAAGCTGATTGGTTCTACACCCCTGCATATACGACTTGTGACCTCACACCAAATGGCCTGCCTTTGCCCTTCAAATCCCCACGAATGATGAGGAGTGTGATACAGCTTATATCTTCTAATTGGCCTTATTGGAACAGGACAGAAGGAGCTGATCACTTCTTCATAGTGCCACATGATTTTGGGGCATGCTTTCACTATCAAGTAAGAAGAGTTAGAGCCCCTCTTTACTTCTCTTATAGATCTTTCAACATCGTGTTTCCTGCCATGGCTATCTAAATATGGATTTGTACGATCTTTGTTGAATCTTGTCCTAATTATGACGCATGCTTGATTGTCCCAATTGTTTTCTATCATTGCAGGAAGGAAAAGCTATTGAAAGAGGGATCCTTTCATTGCTCCAGCGTTCTTCCTTGGTTCAAACTTTTGGACAGAGGAATCATGTTTGCTTAAAGGAGGGTTCAATCACCATTCCTCCGTTCGCTCCTCCACAGAAGATGCAAAACCACCTGATTCCTCCAAACACTCCTCGGTCCATCTTTGTTTACTTTCGAGGTTTGTTTTATGACGTGGGAAATGACCCTGAAGGTGGTTATTATGCAAGGTATATATTACTAAACCATCATGCTAAACTAAGTTTGTGGTAAAAATGAACTATCTACATTTTTTTACAATTGCATATGAAAAGTATAGCTTTTTCCTATAAATGGAATGGGAAACAAAAATAAATTCACATTAAAAAAAAAAAAAGACAGCGCAATAATAATAACAGAAAAGCTACAAAACTATTGGATTTCTTTTGAATGCGTTGTAAAACACAAATGCATGGTTTCCTTCATGTTCTTCATCATATGAGCTCTTAAACGCTGCAAAATTTAATCCAATAGATACGTATACATAACTTGGAATATCTAATTTTGTAGAGGTGCACGAGCATCAGTGTGGGAGAACTTTAAAGACAATCCGCTTTTTGACATCTCCACAGACCACCCAACAACTTACTATGCAGACATGCAACGAGCCATTTTTTGTTTGTGCCCACTTGGGTGGGCGCCATGGAGTCCGCGTTTGGTTGAGGCTGTTATATTTGGGTGCATTCCAGTTATCATAGCAGATGACATTGTCCTACCGTTTGCTGATGCTATCCCATGGGAAGAAATTGGGGTCTTCGTAGCAGAGAAGGATGTTCCAAGTCTAGACACCATTCTCACTTCAATTCCACCAGAAGTAATATTGAGGAAGCAGAGATTGCTTGCCAACCCTTCAATGAAACAGGCAATGTTATTTCCACAACCTGCTCAACCAGGCGATGCTTTCCATCAAATTTTGAATGGACTTGCACGTAAGCTGCCACATGACAGGAGCGTTTTCTTGAAGTCAGGTGAGAAGATCTTAAACTGGACTGCAGGTCCGGTGGGTGACCTGAAACCTTGGTAGCGGCTATAGCGTGGAAAGTGATCCCAATTTTTTATTTTACCCCCTCTACCTTGTCTTACTGCAATGAAGATGCTGATATTCATTGAAGTTTTGTCCATATGTATACTGCACTTTGTATTTCTTTTTGCAGCTGTAGGGTTATGGGGTATTTGATATACTTTGACTTGGAGTCTATTGTTTCATCTGAAAGCTAGTTGTAATTGTTCTATGGTCATCTTGCGTACCATCAAAACAATGTCTTTTTTTTTTCCATAGTTTCTCTGATTTCAAGTGCAAATTAACTTTAAGAGTAGACGATTTTCTTTTTTTTTTCTTGCTTGATTACCTCTTTTTTTTTTCGCCGGGTGTCTGTGTGTGTGTTGGGGTGCGGGAAAGCCATAAAAGTAGTGAGCTAGTTGGTTTCATCAGTACAAACATACTCTACTTGGGATAATATGCATCAATGAAAAAATTATTGATAAATATTATTTTTTTCTGCAAATTTGTGTCAACTCCTATCATTTTTGTTTGAAAAAATTACACTTAAACTCTTTGAAATTTGTCACTTAATCACTTAGATCCTCTGATACTTAAAATATTACATATAGATCTCTTCAAATTTGTACGTGCGTAACATTTAGACCTTTGCCGTCAATGTCTGTGAACATATTCATTAAAAAATTATACTTAGATTCCATGAAATTTGTAGGTATATAATACTTAAGATTTCTTAAATTTGAAATATTATATTTAGACTCTTTATTAGTCATGAAACTAACAAAATTGATTAAATGACCAAATTAACTCAATTAAAGATAAAAGGTATTGTGTCAATTACATTTTGACCCTTTATTTAGTTTTTTACTTTTATTTCAATAGATAGTATAATTATATGGAAATGAGTGTTGAATTGAATACTTTGATATATTTATACTAATTGTTATTTTTTCCTCAAAAAATTGGGATTTTATTTGGTTTTCATGTCAATAAATGATATAATAGAACATGCAAATGTGTTAATTAGGTTTATTTCATATGTTCATACTTAATAATAGTAAAATTGACCTAAGGTGAAAAGTCCATTTAGTCCAAGATGTTTCAAGTATGCCACTCCAATCTCCAACTATTTTTTTAGGTGATCAAAATCCAACAAACTAATGTAGAGGTCATCCAAATTTTGGCATCAATAATACTGATTATAATTTTTTTTGTAAAAAAATTGTATTTTTATTTCTAATTTTAGTTCAATAAATGAAATAATAAAACATAAATTTTGCTTGTAAAATTTAAAATATTTGATATTTTATCTTTAATTAGAGTATTTTTTGTCTATGTGTAATAATATTTTATACTTGAAGAGTCAAAGTATTATGCGTTTTAAATTTCAGTGGTCTGGATCTAATTTACTAATAGATATATTAACAGACATTAATAACAGGAGTCTGTGTATTATGCACGTAAAAACTTTAGGAGGTTTGTGTATAATATTTTAAATGTCAAGGGGTCTAGGTGATTAAGTGACAAACCTTAGAGAATTTGAATATAATTTCCCCTTTTTGTTTTTTGCGTTGAAGTTTTAATACTATTATATATTAATTTTACGCTTGACCTTTAGTTAATAAATCTAAAATGTTACAACTCCAGTGACACTTTTTGGTGGGGGTTTTAAAACCTTGTTTGGTTTGTATTTTAGAAAATGTTTTTCCGTTTTTGAAAATAATTTTTGGAAAAAAAGTTGTTTAATCAACTATTTTTTTGTTTTTATTTTTGAAAAACTAAGAACAAAAACTAGATAGATTTAGAGACCAAGTAAAAATTATTTTGTATGTTTTTCAAAACAATTTTTTCTGAATTTAGAAACCACCATCACCACCACACTTCTACCACCATTACTACATTTCTGTTTTTTTTTTTAATTTATTGTCTAAACAAGTTTTACTATTTTTTGGAACCATATAACCAAATAAGTTTTACGATATAAAAAAAATATTAAAACACATTTTTCTAAAACTCTTTTCAAAAATAATTTTTGGATACTATTTTTTGAAACACAAACTAAACAACACTTTTCTATTTGTTCCCTTTGCTCAACAATGGTGGCGCTTTTTTTGTCATTTTTTTTGTGGAAATTGTGGATTAAATTCTATTTTGCCATTTGTTCTCACTGTTTGCTTGTTAAAAAATTGTTAGAGCTAAGAAATACATCATTATTGCGTATCAACTGTTATTTAACTCAATTTTATGTTTTTTTAAGAGTAAAGGAGTTGTCATCCTTTTTTGATATAAGTTAACTTACTTATTTTATTTTTTTTAAATAATGTTTTGTTTTTATAGAAACTACTATTGCAAATACATAGATGCTTAACTTTTGTTTAGGTAATAATATTAACTTCAATTGCGATTCTAAAAACACAAATCACTAGAGTTCTCACTATAAAACCCTTCTCCCTTGAGAATACACAAGGTCCAAAGAATTTTGTTGTATCCCATAATGACAATTTTAAAAATTATTAATAATTGAATTGTTTTATAAAATTAGCGAGTAGACAATACATAATTTAAAACACAAGAAGTCGGAATATTTATGAATAGAAAAACACTAATGTCATTGCTCCAATACTTTAGTTGTCAATATTTGTCAAAAGAATGATAGAATTGATACCAAATATTGTATGTATGGAATTTAGGACTTCATTAAAATAAATTATCAAAATTATGACTTCATTGTTATAAAATAAAAATGAAGGGACTTAATAGATATTTGGGGAGAAAAGTAATACTTATTAATAATTTTTCCTACATCAATTGCATTAAAATTTAAGATGTCCAAAATTTATTTGTGGTCCAAAAATTGTCATAATCAATTTTAAAAAAGGCTTTTAAATTTATTTGCTTCAATAAATATTCAATATAATAATTAATGATATACAAAAGTGAGTTTACGCAAAATCAATCAAGGATGAAATAAAGAGGGTTCAACACAAGCAAACAAATAGATTAGGTAATTCTATCTAGGTGACCTAATCTACTAAGAATGGCGACAATAGTTAGAGAATCTTATTACTTGAGAGGTGTAGTGTGCTGAGATGTGTGTAATGCTCCCATGTGTAGGTGAGACTTACAATTTATATTTCTGATATAGGGCTTGACTACACTTGTAACTTGGGTCTGATTTATATTTTTATATTAGACCTCTTAACCACACTCGTTAATAATGATACTATGTAATCACTATCATGTAATATCACCTTTCAATAATAAACTTCAAAATATAAAAAATGAAGTTCATTTTTTAACTCCCTTACATGAATGAATAGAGTAATGATAGCATGGTTTTACCGTTATATTACTATAACAAAAATTTAACTAGCATGAAAGAAGCTATCTAAGATATTTTTTTGCGGTGGGGGTTGTAGGAAAATTCTGGAAAGAGAAGGGTACAAAAGTGGACTTGTGTGGGGAGAATGACAGCCACGCTACCACAATGTATAGACAACCAATAACATGTTACAATTTACAAGCATATACCACTCTCTTATCTCCTCCTCTATATCTCTTCTTCCCTCATCCAAACTGTAGTAGAAACAACAGGAACTGAGAACAGTAGTGGGAAGTACCAAAATGGCCTTGCAAGCACCCACTACTAGCCTTCAAACCACCAAGTCCATACCATTGACTTCTCCTTTATCCCCCACCGGCAATGCCGGACTCCGGCGACCCTCCGACCGTTTTGCTCTCAAATCATCATTCTTCTCTCCATCTCTTCACCTCCTCTTTCCTCCTCCTCAATTTTCTGTGCCTTGTATTGCACCAAAATTCTCTATGCGTGTGGCCTCAAAACAAGCCTATATCTGCCGGGACTGCGGGTAAACTTTCAATTTTCATCCAATTGACCTTGGAATCTTGTGGAATTTTAATATCGTATTGAATGTTATTCCTAAAAGAAGTAACTTGACTTGTTAGAATTGAATTGTAGTTTTCAATACCGTAGTCTTTGGTGCATCCTAAATAAGTGTTTCTTTCTTGTGAGTTATGCTGTAATTCTGTTGTGGTGCAGGTATATTTACAACGACAGAACACCATTTGAGAAGCTACCTGATAACTACTTCTGTCCTGGTATATATATTCACCTTCTTGAATTTGATTTGCCTTTATCTTTTTTCCCAAATAACTTCATTTCACTTCCCATTGACAATCCTGTTTCCTCCACACCCCCCCTCCCCCCAATTCTTGTTCCAATCTTCAAAATCAATTAAACCAATTATATGGGTTTTGATCCTGCTTTTTTCACCACCAACAAACTCAAGTGGTAACAAAAACGAATCGTAGACTCAGCTGTCCTAAGTTTGAATATTGGTAACAACCAGGTGCTAACATGTCATCTTACGAGATAAAACGTTGTTCAAAACTCGTCATTAATGATAAAAAGAAATGTATCTTATTCAAATTAAAATTCAACAAGAGGGATTATACTAATTTCGGTACATGAAAACTTAAAAAAAAAAAAAAATATTCCTTGCAGTTTGTGGTGCTCCAAAACGAAGATTTAGGGCATACGAGACTGCTGTGAACAAGAATGCCAACGCCACAGATGCTCGGAAGGCCAGGAAAGAACAGTTGAAGAAAGATGAAGCAATTGGGTGAGTCTTGTTTTCCCCTTACTATAAACTTTTGATTTTTCTGAATTTTTTTTTTTTTTGGTGATAAAATTGTATGAAAAAAGAAAATGATTATCTATCTGCCTGGTACAGGAGAGCATTGCCTATTGCAATTGTGGTTGGGGCTGTAGCACTTGCTGGTTTATACTTCTATCTCAACAGCACTCTCTAGGTTCCATCCTAGAAAGCTATCATTCTGGGCTTCATGGACAATTTTGTAACTTCAGTATATGTATTTCAAGTTTCACCTCACCTCTATATGGAGCTGAAATTATCATGTTTCTAGTCGTTTTGGGGTTAAACTTTCATTTCACATAGCCACTTGATAGTTCGATAAGCCTTGTTAATGACCGGAACTACTGAGTTTCGAAAATAATAATAATAATAGGTGACCATGGTGAAGGGAGCTCAATAGGAAAAAAAAAACAAAAGGGAGTTCAATAGGTAGCATACTAAATACTAATTGAAATTCACTCTTGCATTAATTCTATTCAATTAAAGCAATGTTAATATCTATCAGGAGTGTTGTCTATTGTATTCAAATGCACCCCTGAATCAAGAATCAAGACATGGTGGATGATTTATTATTGAGAAAATTGAATGCAATTAGTGCCGAAAAGGATCTCGATCAAGTCCAAGCCCGAGTCCAAGCGCTCTGTTTTTGTTAGCAGACACACCCTCACGTTTCTATACCATAGATTGTGAATTGAATTGATGATGGTAATGGGTTATTTCAAAATCTCTGCCTAGCCAATACTAGTAGTAGTCTGTTGTCAAGTCCTGTTCTGTTCCAAAGCAGGAACAAGCAATTTAGTTCTGGTTGGGTTGATCACATTTCATTGGGCATATAACTGGACACGCGTTATAAATTATATCGATTATAACAACGAGAAGTTGATTATTCTCATCCGAGAGACGATTTAAGACTAATGCCAAACTCAAATTTAGCCTCACAGAAACTAGTCAGAGTCAAAGCACCTTCAAAACACCCATAACCCCTTTCATCAGGCTCCCATGAGGGCCAACACTAGATTGTACAAGTGGTTTCTTTTCCTCCTCAGCATCCATGAAACAGTACACAGGGGCTTGCCAGTTGGGATCATCAAGCACTCTTCCAACCTCAAAGGTCATCACATGTGCAGTCATCCCTGCAGTTCACATATTAAATCACACAGCTATCAGGAGAGAGAGAGAGAGAGAGTCAAACTCTTCAAACAAGCACTCAGATTTCAAAGTTGAGTCCTAATGACTACATTATGGTTCACACACACACACACACACGCACACGAACCAGCCAAAAAAAAGAAGAGAAATTTTTAACAAAGAAAAGTGGAATCACTTGGATAACCCAATAATAACCTAACCAAACCAAACTAAACCTTATGTACCAATCATTTGAGGTGGGTTATATGATTTCATTTTCGTCATTAATTTCGGTCATGCACTCTACGCTTATTTAAGTTAAATATTTTCATATATTTTTTTATTATTTTGTTCAGTATTAATTTAAATTTATTCCTACTTCTAGCTATCACTTTTTTTAACCGATTCTTCTATCACCTCCGTTGAACATGACCCAATAATCCGTTTAACAAATAAGCACTTGGCCAAAACCATTGTAATACGATGAGTTCTAAACTGGTATGACATCTTAAAGGCAAGAGGCCGTTTGTCAAATCTCATTGCTAGCAATTCAGTTTAAAAAAAAAGCATTTGATGAAACAGAAGACTCTATCTTTTAGAAAGCATACCTCAAGAAAGAAGCAAGGCCAGTTCAGAAACACAAAAGAAGTAATGATAAGACCACACCATATGTCTTTTTTGGGTTAAACAATCAGGGGGTGTCCGAGTCCAAGTCTGTTTATGTTTATACGTATCTTGAGTAATTTTTTTCTCTGTTCGGTCAAAAGCAAGTCATTCATATCAAAATTAGGGTATTCACGATGAATTGTTAAGATTCAAACTTATATGTTGGAATTTATAATTCTGTCTCTACTAGTACTTTAGCTACCTAAAAGTTACCCATATGTCTTTTGATAAATGGAGAGCAGAAACATGGAAAGATGTTATGTACCATTGTAGAAAGCCCAATACACAGGTACTTTGGAGACAACATCTTCATAGTACCAAATGAAATCAACCTTCTCCCAAACATTGCATAGAAATCCATCCATGTATTGCTGACCGAGGTAGTTTGCGCCTTCGAGCCAACTGGGTCCAAGTATTCCCACAGGGAAATGCAGCACCCTGCATTCTCTGTCACTGTCCAATGTATAGATATACGAAGTCCCATTGTCCCATTCCAGATCATAGAGAAGCTGCCCAAGCTGGTTTTGAATAATGTTGAAGTTCCGGCCATTAGGCCAGTCATACCAGAGGTCAACCTTTTGGAGGGTTCCGTTTGTGTTCATGTAGAGGATGGCGTGGAATTGGGGTGGCCATGTAGCCGGAGTCGGGTTGGTCGAAATCAGAGGGGAACAGAGAGATGATGAAAACAGGAGTGGTAGAAGAAGACAAGAATAAACCAGTGCAGCTGGAAGGACCATTTTTCTGCCTTTGTTACCTGAATTTAGGGTTAGATTAGAGGCAGCCGAGGATCAAATGGGGGAGCCCACTTTCTTCTTCACTGAACAATGAAAATTGATGGACCACAGGTTAAATCATGAAGGCATATGAGACAGATTCTGTGAGATTTGAGGAGGACTAGAAATGAGGCTGATTAGGAGGACGAGGATTCTGAGGTTGGTTTTTTCCCACTCAAAATATACTTTCTCTGATGTATTCTTCAGCTTTTTAGAAATATCTTTAGGAGTTGTTTGGATGTCCAATTAAGAAAACAAAAGATGCTACACAACAAAATGAAACTTAAAAATTATAATTTAAATGTATATTATTTTTTGAATGAATGTTAAGCGAAAGGAATAATATGCACTTGAGTTATAATTTTTTAAATTTCTTTTAGGTTGTGTAACGTTACTCTAAGAAAAGAGGGACAGTATTAGAGTAATGCTAGATGGATTTAAAAAATAGACTTGATAATCTCAATCATTGAATAGATAGTGAGTTCCAATAAATGCTGGGACCTATAGTGAAATCAATGGTTGAGATTATCAAATCTAATTTTTAAATCTATTTTTTAAGTACATGTAACATTGCTCAATAAGATAATATCAATTTTAGTCAAAAGTTTGTCTATTTAGAAAAAGAAGGAATGTTTACATGAATTTTTCTTAAATTGAAGATAAAATTGTAAAATAACGACACCTAAGTTATATTATAATACCACATTTTTTGATGGTATTAAAATTAACTCAATAAAACAAAATAAATTGTATAAGAATTATTCATTATAGATAGTTATGTAATTAATCTCATACATAATACAAAATATTTTTTTGCATTTAAATATAGGGTTAATCTCATTTTGCACTCCAAAATATTGTTCGAATCTCAATTTGTACCCTCAAAGATCAAAAATCTCAATTTACACTCTTCAAAGATAGAAATTTGTATCAATGTGCACCCCCAAAGATCAAAAATTTCAATTTGCTCCCTCAAAGATAAAAATTTATATCAATGTGCACCCCAAAGATAAAAAATCTCAATTTGCACCCTCAAAGATAGAAATTTGTATCAATGTGCACCTAAAACTAAATTGATAAATTATACCTAGATCCCCTCATACTTGTTACTTAATCATTTAGACATCTTCACATTTAGAATATTACTCTTATATCTTATGACATTTGTGCACGTATAACACGTAACTCATTTTCATTGATATCTATTAATATAATCGTTAAAAAATATAATTTTATCCTAATAAAAAATTATAATTTTCATATTACCCTTTATTTTATAGGTTCAATATATTCTAAAGTTCAAAATCTAGTTTACCATTTGAATGTCTAATAAAATGTAAATATTTATATAATATTTTTCATATTACCTTTTATATAAATATCTACATTTTATTAGACATTCAAATGGTAAGCTTGATTTTCAACTTTAGAGTATATCTAATCCACAAAATAAAAGGTAATATGAAATTATAATTTTTTATTAAGATAAAATCATATTTTTTAACGATTATATTAACAGATATCAACGAAAAGTGGTTATGTGTTACACATGCACAAACGTCATGAGATGTAAGAAGAATATTCTAAATGTGAAGGAGTTCAAATGATTAAGTGACAAACATGAGAGGATCTAGGTATAATTTATCAATTTAATTTTAGGTACACATTGATATAAATTTCTATCTTTGATGGTACAAATTGAGATTTTTGATCTTTGGAGGTGCAAATTGAGATTTGAACAATCTTTTAAGGTACAAAATGAGATTAACCCTTAAATGTAATATAAACCTGTATTAAAACATTTTAATCCAATATGACTATTTAATTCCCTTATAATACAACCACCAAATGGCCCCTAAAGGTACACATTCAGTCCTTACTATAAAATTCACTTATTTTTTTGCCCCAAAAATTGGAATGTATAAAATTTACAAGAATTTCCATATGATAGCAAAGCACAGGCACAAAGCTTGACATTATGCATTTTTGCTACACCTTTCTTGATATAAACTGCATTTTCAATAATAACGCATCTGTCAAGAGGCATGATTTTTACATTTTGGCAACGTCATTTTTGCCTTATTTAGAGTTATACTATTGTAAAAATACAGTACCAAAGGTTTGCCCCATATCACTATGTAATTGCAACAGAAGCATACACTATTCTAGAAAACATTCTAGCCTGAGTAGAGCTACTGGTTCCCAGTTATAGGGCTGTTGCGACCTTTCTTGAAATCATCCCAACCTCTCACCCAGGGCTGCCCAGGCGTTGCCCGTGTCTCAGGAGCAGCGTGGTGGTTGAGATTGTGCACCACCTTTTCATGAACTGCAGTGAACACCTATAATGACAAGCAAATAATATGAGTAAGCAATATGCAAGAATAAAAATAAAATAAAATGAGTTTACAATTCTCTAGGGCAGATTAAAAAGATAAGGAATTTCTCACAGGATTTGTGTTTATTGCCTCTGGAGGTTGTTCCTGTCCAGTAAGCCACTTCCACAGATCTGGGTTTTCCTGCAGAGGAACATAAAAACCAAACAGTTAACAAGTATATGATCAGTTGAAAAAATGCAGAAGCTGATTTGCCAAGAGCATATCTGAACGGATCATTTTCAAGGAAACTTTGAATGGCGCACATCTTTTTGAGTTTCATTTAAGATGGTTCAGAAATGCATTCAAGTAGTGGTCGTTTGACTAGAGCTTACCTCACAACTAATCCTACTACTGGAAGCAATGAGTCCAACAAGAAGGGCTTGGGTCAGGTTGAGGATGGCATGCCTATGGTTGATACCTAACTCCCACCCGCATAAGACTGATTGTTTTAGGTTGGGTTGAAGTCAGGAAGCCAACATCATACAGTTTTTATGTTGGTCGGGTTTGAAGGCAGTAGTGTTTATTCTAAGGTAAACTTAGACAGTTACAAATCAGCTCAGACCAGATTGACAGGTAGGATTGACAGATCATATGAAACGGGGGACAATGCAACAGAAAATAGGGCTCCCTGCTAACACTAAATTATATCACATAACGAATATGGATCAAAGAACGAAAATGGTGAAAGTGAACCTTATGGAGTTCTCTAATTCCAACCTGAATTTAACCAAACTATGCCTTAAAAAAATCCTATTCTCTTTCCACCAAGGACAGGGCAATTATTTTCCTAAAGATTAACCGGCACTGATAATTATAACCCATAATTGCATTCAAAAATTGTTGAATAATTGTGCACCAAAAATGTGAAACAGTGTAATTTCAGTTCCAATTACCAAGTATCCCAACGTTACTACCTTATTTGCACAATACATTTTGATCTGCTTAAAAATTTAAATCTAAGAAACTGCTCAGCCAAAAAGTTCTTTTGCATAAGCATCCCACCAGCCACTTTGTATGAATAATCACCTCCAGACTCCTAACTAAACATGAGATCACAAAAGGGATGCTATTATGCTAACCATATTTTCTTCCAACTAGATTGTACAATAAAGCGAAACAGAGATAGGTAAACACTTTCCATATCTTTTTGGGATTACACTATGCTTTTCTCCAAGTATAGAACTAATTCTTTTTCTACAGAAAACCTAAAGATAATAGCACTACGATCAATCATATCTTCTATCACATGAATATCTTTGGATATCAATTTTTATATTAAATTGCCGTTTAAAAAACACAAGAATGTAGAGTAACAATAAAAATTACCAGGTCAAGGACATCAACCAGAGCTTTAATTCCATTTTCATCCATAGAATGGATATGATCCTCCACCCATTTTCCCAAAATCAGGTCCAACTCAAGATAGCCTCTTTGTTTGCTCCTATATAATAGCCTACATTTTTTTCCCCGCACATTTTCAGATTAGTAAGTAAAACGAGAAAAGCAAGCAAATCCATCATCTGTTGAATAATTTCTATCACAAACATTATCGCCCGTAAATCAAACTCCAATATTCTGAGTATCTGTTAAAAATCATAACCTGTTACATAAGCGCCTTTTGCTTTCTTCATTTGACAGATCAATATCTAGCGACTGAATTTTATCGTTCGACGAGTAGACACGAGAAAACGGACAAAAAGAAGGCCTGAAACCGCCCAATAAAGCAGGGAATCAAGGACTATTCAAATCATTCATGTACACACACACACACACACACACACATATATATATATTAATGAAGTGTAAGGTTGATCATAACCTGTAAAGAGTTTCCGAGCGGATCGGCGAGGGGACGACGGAGCTCCGATTGGTGGAATTAAGGATGCGAGGTATGTTATTCAACAGAGCCCTTCTCAAATTCGCCATTTAATATGTGATGATGTGTGTATGCTTGAGAGAGAGGGTTTGTGGGTCTGCGAGGGGTTAACACCGTGGTTGTGCGCGGATATGGGTTGGGTTTTGTGTGTGTGGGTGTGTTCTGTGAGAATGGGGGATAGGCGTTGTGCGCAGATATGGGCTGGGTCAGTGTGTGTTGGGTGCAAAGTGTAAATAAGGGAAATAAAGAAATATGAAGTGTAAATTTTAGAAAAAAAAGGGAAAGCAAACAGAAATTACACTGAAGTAACGATTTCAAAAGACTCACGGACCGTCATGAAGCTCCTCAGAGTAAATATCTATTTATCAATTTTTAAATTTTTGCTGTGGAAAGAGAACAACATATAATTTTAATTTTTTTTAATATTTAGGTGCTTACTCTGTCAAAAGGGTAACGGGACCATTTTTATCTGAATATTGCATGAATTATATTTGTATGAACATTGCTTTTGGAGACATGATTTTTTTATTTGTAGTTCGATTTTTTTATATCGCATGAATTATATGTAGTTGCATTTTAGATGTACGGATATGTATGCACCACGTCACTTTGTTAACAGTTAGTTCAAATTCAATTAATGCATACTTTTATTTCAATTCCTTCTTTTAGATTCATCCTACAACACACACCTTTTTCTTTTTTTTTTTTTTCGAGTTTTAGATTCATCCTACAACAATTAATGCATACCTTTTTTATCTATGTGATTTTAACTAACATTTTAAAATTATACACATTACCTCATTATAATTATGTACCAAAATAAAACAATTATTTTTATCTTCCAAATTAACGGAACGGAAAGTGTTTTTCACACGTACAAAACATGTTATAGACTTTATTTTCATTGTTTCTCCCCAAAAGAACATTATTTAAGTACCAAAAATATCTTACCTACTTTTGTCGGTATTTTTACCATATTTGTGAATATTTTTATCATTTTTAGGGTAGGACATCAGTAGTAAAAATAATCACAAATGCGGTAAATAAAAGTAGGGTTAATTGTAAGTTGCACCTCGAAAAATAGTTCAAATCTCAATTTAGATCCCCAAAGATCAAAAATCTCAATTTGCATCCTCAAAGATGAAAATTTGTATCAATGTGCACTTTCAAAGATAAAAAATCTCAATTTGCACCCTTAAAGATAGAAATTTGTATCAATGTGCACCCTCAAAGATAAAAAAATCTCAATTTACACCCTCAAAAATAAAAATTTGTATCAATATGCACCTAAAACTAAATTAATAAATTATATCTAACTCCTATCATGCTTGTTACTTAATCATTTGAACCCCTTCACATTTAGAATATTATTCCTACATCTCATGACATTCGCGCACGTGTAACACGTAACTCTTTTTCGTTGATATCTGTTAATATAACTGTTAAAAAATATGATTTTACCCTAATAAAAAATTATAATTTCATATTACCCTTTATTTTGTGGGTCCGAGATACTCTAAAGTTTAAAATTAAGTTTACCATTTGAATGTCCAATAGAATGTAGATATTTATATAATATTTTTATATCCAATGCAATATATCACTCAATGTTCAAATGGTAAAGCTTGATTTTGAACTCTAAAGTATATTAAACCCATAAAATAAAGAGTAATATGAAATTATAATTTTTTATTAGGATAAAATTATATTTTTTAAAGGTTATATTAACATATATCAACGAAAAGGAATTACTTGTTACACATGCACAAACGTCATAAGATGTAAGAGTAATATTCTAAATGTGAAGGGGTTCAAATGATTAAGTGACGAGCATAAAAGAATCTAAGTATAATTTATCAATTTAATTTTAGGTACACATTAATACAAATTTTTATCTTTAAAGGTGCAAATTAAAATTTTTTATCTTTAAGAGTGCACATTAATACAAATTTCTATCTTTGAGAATACAAATTAAAATTTTTAATCTTTGGAGGTACACATTGATACAAATTTTATCTTTGAGAGTACAAATTGAGATTCGAACGATATTTCAGGGTGTAATTTGCAATTAACCCATAAAAGTATGGTACCACAATCCACTTCTCACGTATATTTCAAATATACCAACAATCCTAAATCCCTATATCTCGTTTTCTCATGACTTAAAATCTGATTTGAACTTAAAAAATGGAACACCCAAATTAGACTTAAAATTTTGAAAATCAAAAGATTAAAAAAAAAAACAAATATAATTGTAGCCTTGAACCAATCAACCCCACAATTCTTGGCTATGCGTTTTTGGTAATTGACAATCAATCATCATGATCAACATGTACACATGTATAACACATAACATCGGCATCCTTCATGGCCAACTTGAGTGACATGTACATTCACAGAATCCCTCCAAATCTATCCCAACGATGCAATCAAACTGAAGCTGTTATATATAAATCCCATGTGGAACTTAAAAATCTCAAGTTCAATACACCACAATAAAAAAAAAAACGCAAGAAAAAAGGACCATGGTGAGAAAAGTGAAAAATAAACCAAAACTCTTATCTTCTTACGTGCTGTAATTATGCCAAAGGTAAAACCTTTATGCCGCCAATCCCACAATAGCAATCCTGAACTAAGATAAGAAACAGTATTAAGACCATGCCGTGTCGTAAGCAAAGTATATATGAAAATTAAAATCCAAACATGCCAACAAATATATAAAATAAAATGCCAAATGTGTGTAATAAAGTGATCGGGGTTCTATGATGTTCTCCCTTGATACCAAGCTTGGCTAAAATCTAGAGTTTCTCCACCGAATTAAACATTATACTAGAACAAAGATATGCACACTCCCTTGTAAGAGAAAGGAGAAGTTGTCCTCGCACAATCAATTGACAAAGCTATATCCTTAAATCTACAATCATTCATCGATTTCGAAATAAACCACACACAATTTATTATGGTTGCATTCTATAAACTTTTTTCCCAGCTAAATTAGCAAAATATTCAAAGGCTGATAAAATATAGTGATAGACCCTTTTGGAAGTGGTGCTTGGACTTTGGCTTGTTAGTCTTCTTAGGCTCTTGCAATTACAATATGACGTTGGGTATGTTCAAAATTTGCATGCACTCCTTGTGTTTGTTCATAAAAAAAAAATGAATTGAAATCCCACATCGCTTGCGACAGGAGTTTCATGTTGATGATAGACTCTCATCCACTCTTCCAAACGTCAAGCCTTTTTGAAAGTGGTGCTTGGACTTGGACTTGTTGGTTTTCTTGGACTCTTATGACTGTTGGATGATGTTGGGTAACATATATGTTCAAAATTTGCATGTATTCCTTTGTCTTTGTTCAAAAAAATAAATGAACTGAAATCCCATATCTATTGGGGCAAGAGTTTCAAGTTCATTGATAAGTCTCATATAGGTTCTTTTGAAGGTGGTGCTTAGATTTGGATTTGTTGGTCTTCTTGGACTCTTGCGACTACAGTATGATGTTGGATAATATATATTCAAAATTTGTATATGTTCCTTTTTGTTTGTTCATCAAAAAAGATAACATACGAAGAGAGTCACTTTGTAATACTCTTTGGATCCATCCAATTTCAACTTGACTCTACCCAACAAAGTCTTATACCAAACTAAGGGGAGCGCTTTGGATCCATCAATCCAATCATTAATTCCCTATTATATTTCAGATCAACTAATATTATTTTTAGTTCACTAGAAAGTTGGTATGGACTTCTATTAATCAGTTTTAACATGACATGGATCATAATTAGGGGTGTTCACCCTACCACATGGGTAAGAAATATTGTATTCCGTCTTTCTACCCAAAACTTTGGGGAAGAATTTTTTATTGACCCACCCTATCCGATCAGGTGTAGTATTCCTATCGACTTCCTACCCGATTAATCGGATAAAAAATCGAATAAATACTTTTGTAGCTATTAATTTTTAAATCATGTTAACAATTCTACTAAATAACATGCACTAATTTAACAACATAATAAATCAATAACACTAAAACCTAAAACAACTACAAGAATTACAATAAAATATAAGAAAGCATGAACATTAATCCATCATAATTGTTACACAAATACAAACAATTATTTTAAGTTTAAACCATATGAAACACATTAAAATCATAACTGCTTTAATAGTTCATTAGTTCACCACAAATCCTGTAACCTACACAAGCAATAACATAAATCAAAACATTGTCTATTGATGGTGTGCATAATATACAAGTATGAAATTCGATTACCAGGGTCCCCCATTCCTTTGGATGGTATTCTAATGTTCTTAATGCTCTTAAGAGGGTGCTCTTATCTAGAGCTCTTTACTTATGGAGTCAAAAAAACTATCTTTTCTATGTTGAATTAGATAAGGTTCCAAAAGATTCCGAATTTCTCCCCATCAAGTCTACAATGTCCTGTTTGCTTGGCAAATATATTGTGTCAATTAAACAACCATATACTCCAAAAACTTAAGCTATTAGAGAGGGTGTAACTTACGTATTTATATTTCAATACATCCCCTCACGTGCAGGTTAAATTTTGAGCTTAATATGTGAAAAACTTATAATAATTAAGGTGGCAGCGATATTCGAACATAGAACCTCTAGCTCTGATACTATGTTAAATAATTATCTATTTCAAAAGTTTAAACTATTAGAGAGGGTATAACTTAAGTATTTATACTTCAACATGCTTCATAGCATTGAATACGAAGCATAAGATTGTTAGAATATTTTAGTATTAAGGATAGTTTAGTCCTTTTATTGTTTATTTGCTTTTCCCTACTATAAAGGATTTCCATTATCCATCTTTTATTATGTTGTAATAGACTTGTGGAGCCGCAATAACATTTTCTCTCATTTTCTTATCCTGATCTCTTTTGTTATCAATGTTTTAATTGTTTTCATGGTATCAGAGCTATTTTGATCCTAAATACGATTAGAAACACAATAGTGGTCATCTAGAGCCAAATTTGTCTCGTATAAGGACTAAACTATCCCTAATGCTAAAATACTATAACAAAAATGACATACCTGCATGCCTTCCATATTCTGTAAACTACTTAGACCAGCAACATCAACTCTCTTCATCTACCAGAATAGTTGATTCATTGCCCACTCCAAGGTCAATGAAGGATGCCATATCATCAGCAAGCAGTGTAGGTAATGGTGAACCCTGCAAATCCAAAAGGGAAATTATTTACCAGCAAAAACAATCTTAACAATAAAGGACCAAGATCTCTTAAATTTTGCTAAATCTTGCATGCGGATCAATTCCACAAATTATATTTTCTCGTGGATAATGCTTTCACAGACAAAAGATAACATTCTGGAAAGTTAGCTCACTTAAAGCTCACAATTAACAAATTTAACAAACCATAAGTAATCCATCAAAAATTGTGAAACTGGTCTAGCAATAGTTTGGGGAGCCTCCAACACAGAGGTAACCAAATTGCCAGCACAATAGAATGAACACTGAAGGCAATGCTGACTAACTTCATACCCCCTAATCATCTCAACTTTGGGCCAATTTATCCACATCAACAGTCATAATAAAGATATACCAAACCCAAACCTCTTCCTGAAGGAATAATATTGGCTTAATGGACTTTAACTTGAAGAACGTCCTGCAAAGATTCTTTAACTTGCCAACCTAAAATAAGAGAAATTTTACTATGTAAGTCTAATTTTAAGTATACCCAAAAAGAGACGCTTCAAGGAAACAGGTAATGCATATCACCGTGGTGGTTGCTGGCAATTTTTTTGTCAACGGAGGCTTCTCAACAATTGATGCTCCAACACACTGCAAAGTGATTGCTGCAGAGAGCAAATGTGAACCACAGGAAGACTGAAGTCACAAGTATTTAAAAATAGCAAAAATTTAGGACCATACAAATTAGCCCTGAAGCCATTTTCTGAGGACCTGCTACTCCAATTAATGGCCTTCCATCCTCAATTCCATGAAATTCTTTAAGCTCAGCAAACCTACAGTCAGTTTCAAGGTCATATTAAGAGAGCAAGATGTTCATATTACACTAAAAAACTGGTGCTTTTACGCAGATTGCCCAGTGAACTGACTATCAACAATACAGCTACAGAAGCTTACAATTTGTTGAGTTGAATGGCCTATCAGAACTAACAATGGAAATCCACTATGTATTAGCCAGCGCAGATGGGTCCACCAAAAAGATCTTTGGTGTCCCCCCCCCCCCCCCCAAAAAAAAAAAAAAAAAGGCGAAACAAAGAAAAAACTCCTTGATTCTGGTGGTAGGTTCTTTGCCTTATCCTTACAATACATCAATGGAAAATGGAACCACTTCATGGAATTGCTCCATGTGATCTTAGTTTCAAGCAGTATTGGTACTCTCATATGGCATTAAAGAGGAATGCCTGATGCACAATTTAAAATGTGAAGAAACGTTAAAGAAAAAGGAAAACAAAGATGATGGAAAAGTTCACAGGCAACTTCACTTAGTTTCAACCGCAAAATGAGCTCTTTTAGTGCTCTTCTCATGAACTCGAACCAAAAAGCATGCAAATTCTGCTAAGCATTAATTTCTTACCAGTAAGCAATGAGCAATTGCTCAGGATTTTCAGTATTACATAATGAAGTTTTGCATGCTTGGAGGAAAACACAAGGATTAAGGTCAAATGCCCTTTACGAAAGTAAAGAGTTTTACTAATGAAATGAAACATAAAGAAAACAAAATCAATGACCATTATACTGGTCAATAACTATGCAACTTTTTCTACTCTAGTAGAATAATTGGTGATCTAGACTCCATATAGGTTCAGATTCAGTTATCCAGGCCAGAACTGCCTAAAATATGTGTACAAGTTAAGAACTCTATCAGCACATGACAAAGGATCCATATTAATCTAAATTCTAACACATTGATGAAGCAATCAATCTTTGATAATTCACATCCAAAGTTGATGCAAGCTGCCTCTGAAGAAACTCAAGAATAAATAAACAAATTGATGAACCAATTAATCAACTCAACTAAAATAATGAATTCCATAAATGCACTCAGGAGTATGACTTCCAGCAAATTTGGCCAAAGAATAGAACTAGCAGAACAGGTAATGTTACCTGGGGTGGAGCTTCTTCACTTCTTCAGGGAACTCATGCAACTTAGACATAACTAAGCGAACATACCTGGAAGAAACATTCTAACTCAAACACCACCAAACAAATCAATACATCACCTGTAATATATCAGGTCCAATCAAGATATCATATACTATACCAAATTAATAGATCACTTAACAGATCTATCACCCCCCCTCTCCAAAAAAAAAAAAAGCACGTACGCATACAAAGGGGGAAGAAAAGAACAGGAAATCAGAGTTAAATTTGAAAGAGTCAAAAGTGCTGTAAATCCAGTCACTAGTAACCTAAAGTAATGTCTTGCTCCTGAAAACCCACATATTGCCCAAGGAGCTCCATTATCGGTGGTAGGTATATGAGAACATGCTTTCCGACATATGCTACCTGTTGGAGATGACATATATTAAGCCTGAACAAATGATATGAGCTGTTGTTGAACCGCTTGAGCTTGGTTTTAAGGATAGGCTCGCTCGAACTTGTTTATTTAACATATTTGTGGGACTAGCACTATATTAAGGACTGTTGGGCTCTTGAACAGGGGGCTTAGTATCAGAAAAGAAAATTGAGAGTGATGTGAAACTGACGCAAAGTACAGGAAAGTTTTTTGTACAATTTATTATACTGCTTCGTCATATGCTCTTGCTCTTGTAGCTGCCTCCTATGCTTCCTGCTATGACTGCCCATTTTCCTTCACCATCACTGCTTTCCAAATCTCTTCTTTTCCTTATCTTGTGCAATTATAGGGACCTAGACTGGAAAGCCTGCCCAGTGGAAAATGCTTACTGTCTCATCCCTCTTTTCAATGAGAGACTTCACCTCTCTCTCCTTGAATAACAAAGTTTGTGGTTACGTAGATGATAACCAGACCATATGAAGGTTGGAATCTTCATTATATCGTAAAACTTTGTAGTTGCCAAGCGCTATTCCATCATGATCTGGTGAAAATCCTTCAGAAATGTATCATGGCCTATTTTCAGTTTACAGTAGATTTTAGATATTGCAACCATGTGATTGCAAGGCAAAGTTGAAGACTGTAAACATGATGTAACCATCTGAGGTTAAACTAGAGTTCAAGACAATAAAAATGGCCTTTAAAAGAGCCAATAAATACAAAAAATGTGAAGACTGCATGAGTTAATTGGTGGGAAATTATTGACAGAAAAAGAAGCATCAAGAGTAAATCAAAAAGTACATGATATAGAAAACTACTAAAACAAACATGAATGCCTAGACACTCTCCCAAATATAAGAAGAACTGCCTGTGTCAAGCATGGCCTTCATCTGAAATTTAGGGCAAGTTCTTGCAATTTTACAATTGCAAGAAAGGAAAAACATACCGAATCTCGGACTCCTTCCGCTCTCGAGCAGTCACCTGAAATTAATAAAACAAAGGTGTACAAGGTTTACAATAAGTTTAGGTAAAAAAAAATTTGGGCCAGTAAAATTTTTAGACTTTACCTCACTCCCATTCAAAATTTCAACTTTTGCTAAACGAGCAATTAAAACAAATCTTGGCATGCCACCTTTCGCCGGATCAGCAATTGGATTATTGGAGAGTCTTATATCCTTGTCACACAAAAACAACAATCAGCAGAGTTAGCGACCTCTGTTAAATGTTGCAGTAACAAAATAAAAAGGACCGCCCAAAATTTTGATCGTGATTTGAGTTGAACTGATGTTAAGTTAGCAGTCTCTTGTTCAAGTGGCTTCACAATGGTTTATTGGCCAAAGACTGTCCTGCAAAAAAATTGCATTGAACAATAATTTCTTTTTTCCATTTTACAGTTTTTAATTAAACAATCAACATTCCTATATGACAAATTAGATTTATAGGTACTTCAGTTGCCGTCTCCCCAAGGCAGGTGGTCCTAGCCCCTCATATGGAATGAAAACCTATATGAGGACCCTAACCATTATCTAGAATCTTATAGTAACCGTATGCCATAAGGAATAAGTTTTCAATAGAGAATCTCTACAACCACTTTACCATCAAGGAGGTTTTGGGGGAACGTAGGGTATTATATGCTCCATCATTGGACTCTTCTTTTCTAATAGAGCATCAATATGGGGTGAGGCAGGGTCATGAGGGAGCATTTGATGATCAGATGGGTCTGGTGAGTGAGAAAGAGCCACCTGATAAGGGATACTACTCAGACCAGGGTAGTTCAAAAAGTCAGAGAGATTGTAATTATGTTTCTGATAGCTCTTTTAATGAGGAGGATGAATGTAACAGATTAAGTTCTGGTGGGGGCTTTCCCTCTTTTAATTCATGATTAATATGATATCATGGAATATGAGAGGAGCAGAAAAGGCTGTCAAAAGAAGGAGATTAAAGAAGCTTATTAGAATGAATGATGTGTGTTTTGTTGTAATTCAGGAGCCTAAGTTGCTTGTTTCTAAATTGAATCTTTTTGCTAGAAGTATTGGATTGAATCATTTCTGTTTCAATGCATTAGTAAAAAGGAACATATGGATTTTGTGGGATGATAGGGTTAAGATAAGGGGTGCTTTTTGCTCATGAGCAAGCATTATCTGTGGAGCAGACTTTTATGAGTGAAGTAGTTTTCTAGATCTCTGTGGTATATGCTAGTTGTAATTAGGTATTAAGAAGATCATTATGGGATCACTTGTTGAGTGTGGATGTTCCTGCTGATATCCCTTGGGTAGTTGTGGGGGATTTTGATTCCATTTTATGTTCTGAGGAAAGGAAAGGAGGTGCTTTTCCTTCTTTGACTGATTTTGGAAATTTTATAGATCAAAGGGGATTGATGGATGCTGGTTTCAGTGGAAATAGATACACATGGTGTGATAATAGGCACACAGTGTGAAAATAGGCAGGGACAGGCAAGGATGATGCAAAGGCTAGATAGAGCTTTGATTAATGTGACTTGGAGTATGAGGTTTGAAAGTCTGAAGGTTATTCATTGGGCTAGGGGTACCTCTGATCACAGTCCTTTGTTTTTGAAAGTAATGGATGCTCCAGCCAAGGATCAAAATTTCGTTTCGAAGTACCATTTCGGTCAGCTCAAAAATGAAAACGTTTCGGAAACGCAATGGAAATGCAAAAAAAATATGGAAATGCATAGAAACACAAATACAATCCATTAATTTATAAAGATAAGCTAAATAATTGATTAATTCAATATATTTATTAGGTTAACATCCATTTATACAAGAATAAATTTAAATTTGAGGGGAAAAAAGGCTTGACATGAGACAAAAATCACTTAAATTAGTTTCAAACACTTAATTTTTATGAAATAAACACATTTTTACATAATATTAAGGTCTTATAATACACATGAAATGCTAATAAATACATACTTACATGGCTGCATCCATCCCCCTGTGGAGTGTCGAGCAGGCTCTGGATAGCTACTTAGAAAAATTCCATGTGACATAAATATGATGACAATAGTTACTCCAACTGATATTATTACGGTAATATTATCAAATTAATAAAACTATTTTATTATAATACTAATAATGAAGGGTATCAAATTAAATTAATGGTACTTATATATACTTAAAAATTAAATGTAATTGTAGTGGGTATTAAATATAATTACAGTAGGTATTAAATATAATTACATTAGAGTATTAAATGTAATTGTTAATACTTATAACAAAAAAAAAACAAAAGACTTGCACAGCAATGGGGTATTAAATATAATTACAATAAGTATTAAATATAATTAAAGTAGGGTATTAAGTGTAATTATTTATTCTTATAACAAAAAAATTATAAAAGGCAGAAGAGCAGTGAGAATTAAATATAATTATAATGGGGTATTAAATATAATTATTTATAGTGAACCGAATATATCACTATTTCGTCGAAATGGTACTGTTTCGATCGAAACGGTCCGAAACAGTACCGTTTCGACCAAAACACTGGAATTTTGTGATTCAACTACTATTTCGTTTCAGAGTGTTGAAATTCCGAAACGTTTCAGATGTGTTGACACAATATTTTGATCCTTGGCTCCAGCTCAGAGAAGAATATCATACTTTAGATTTTAGGATATGTGGTGTGATCATAGTTATCAAATCGTGTATCGGAAGGCGTATCGTAAGATACAAATATTGTATCGTATCGTGTATCGTAAGATACGATGCAATTTTAAATAAATAATAAAAAAATATATATACCTTTGAAAAAAAGTCATACACTCATAAAAAATATAGCATTTCATTAATACTCCACCAACTATTCAAGTTATCAACATAATCCACTACTATTATAATGCAAAGTTCACAACCATAGTTCACTAATTCAAACTTTAAACACCAAAGAGACTTCTAATCCAAATTTCTAACATCCATTTTGAACTCAATCTTCAATTTCAATTGAAAATGCATCATCATCATCATCATTGTGATCAGATGCCAACAAGTCTTCACTTCCTTTATCATCTTCAACTTCTTGTATTTGTTCATCCTCATCCTCATCCTCATCTTCAAGTTGAACTATTTGCTTTCCTTTTTTCTTGTATAAAGTAAGATTTCTAGGCCCTACAAAGCAACCAATACAAAATATAAAAAAAATAAAATTCAAAGTAATGGAGAAGAAGAAAAAACAAACACTACATTTTAATTACCTCTCTTTCTCTTTTTGCTAGTCCCTTCTTGAACCTCAAAACATTCACCAACATTCATCCAAGTAGTGTCCTCAGGAAGGAGTGCATCTTCTTTTTCAGTGATCCACTCATCATCAGATTCCATATCTAAGAGAGAAATAGGATCATAGGAATCACCCTCTAGTATTCTCTTTTGGTGTCTTGCCTCCAATTGAAGATTGTACTTCACAAACACAAGTGCACTTAATCTTTGTTGCTCTAATCGATTTCTCCTCTTAGAGTGCACCTGGTCAAATGTACTCCAATTCCTCTCACATCCAGTGGCACTACAAGTCAAGCTAAGGACGCGGATAGCAAGTTGTTGCAACTCTGGACAACATCCTCCAAATGATTCCCACCACAAGGCTATAAAAAATTACAATAGAATACTCCATTAACTAACTTAAGCAGTTGCATTCAAATAACTAACTTAAGTTAAGTTACCACTAACCAGGTTGTTTCTTCTTCCTCATTTGGATTGCCATGTCCATTCCAAACATCAAATCAGCATTATGAAAGATATCTAATTGTTTATCAACTTTTTCTCTCATAATAGAACTTGGGCACATTCTCTGAATAGTCTGATATAGTCTCATCTTTATCTCATAGTCCGCACTACCGGTGTTATGAAACCTGAAATAATTATTTTGATTTACAATGATCATTGATCAGCATACAATATATAGATATAAAATGATATAAAAATTGAGAAAATTAAGTCTTACGCGGGATTGAGATAATAGGCAGCTGCATGAAGAGGTCTGTGTAATTGCATGTTCCATCTAGTGTCAACAATAGTCCATATGGACTCATAGTGCTTCTTCACATTACGAAAATTCTTTTGGATTTGTTCCTTTGCCTTGTCCATTGCCTCATAAATATACCCCATGGCAGGCTTTAGATCCCCATCTACAAGCCTCAACACCTTCACCAATGGCAACACACACTTCAAGCAATACTTGATTGATCCCCAAAAATTTTGGTCAACTAGTATAATATCCATCACTTTTACACCATTTTCCTTCTTAAAATATTGACTTCTCTGCCATTCCTCAGAAGCAAACATTGCTCTAAGCCCAATTTTATTTTCAAATAAACTCCTTAAAGTTAAATATGAGGTGGCAAATCTGATCACACAAGCTCTCACCAAATCCCTTTTCTTTGTATACTTTCTCATAAGATTTAACACCCAAGAATGTCTATAAATGTAAACTGTGATTTTCCTTGCCTTTGACATTATATCCTTGTGCAGAGGAAGGTCCCCAATATCCGTCAAAATGAGATCTAGACAATGTGCACCGCAAGGAGACCAAAACAACTTTGTCCTCTTTGCCATTAACAACTCCCCAGCTTTTACATAAGCCGATGCACTATCAGTTACAACCTGAACAACATTATCCTCACCAATCTCTTCTACCATTGAATCTAAAAGCTCAAAAAGATTATCCGCATTCTTACAAATACCTGAAGTATCAATACTTTTAAGAAACACACTTCCTCTAGGACTATTCACTAAAAAATTAGTGATAGAGCGATGTTTCCCATCAGTCCATCCATCAGACATAAGAGTACAACCCGTCCTTCTCCACTCTGCTTTATAATTTTCCATCAACCCACCATTAATCAAATTTGTTTCTTTTTTCAAAAAAGAACATCTCACCTCATGATACGATGGAGGTTTCAATCCCTTACCAAACGATGCAACAGATTCTAACATTCTTACAAAATATGGATCCTTTACCAAATTAAAAGGAAGGGCATTAGCATAAAAACATCTACAAATATCCAAGCATACATCTTCCCTACCCTTTTTCTTCAACATAGTATTCAAAGTAATTGTGGTGGTTGGTTGTATTTTATCAGCAGTAGTACTACCCACACTGCCACTACTTTTCGAATCCACAAGACTCATATCTTTGCTAATTGCCCTATCATCCAATAATTGCTTAA